AAAACAAAAAAAAAACAAAACATCCTGCTTCTCTGCGAAATGTGCAAAATGATGAGTTGGCACATTTTCTAGAAAAGAACAAAAATTTTCACTTTTTGGAAATTTGTAATAAAATATTGACCAACAGGATTTTGTTTCAGCAATTACGTGATATATATATATATATAACAATCAGTTATTCGTCCAATCTACTGATTTTTTTTTCACTGGAGGTATCCCAATGATTTTTTTTTTAAATTTGAAAACTTAAGATTCAAATGGTAGCATTCTAATATATATACAACAATTCTTTCTCTTTGAAAAATTCAAATATCAATGTTTCAGCACCGAGCACAAATTTTTTTTAATCTTAGGAATTTAAAAATTGATAATAAGAAAAAGAATAAAAGAACATGTTAATGTTATGTCACTACAAATGATTTTGACAAAACATTCTGGTTCTGATATAGTTATCAGGGCATTTGAATATTTTATGATATTTCGGTGATTATCACACAGACTTCAGGATGATTTTAAGTTAACCAATGAGAGAACATTATCAGCTTTGATATCAAAACGTCTCAAAATTAGATGACTTTAATTTTCTTGATGATATTTTTTCGTAAAATTTCTGAAAATCAGAAAAAGTCTACTCTTTTAGTTGATGAAGTCTAAACCAGAATTGCCCTACTGTGACGTCCCCCGGTGTCGCTGCGCCAAATGTGACGTCTGCCTAGCCCGCCCGCCGTGCTGTCCTGGTCGCGGCCCCAATTGTGACGTCATCCCATCTGTCTCCGCGCTGTCGCCGTCCTATCCTGTGCTGTGACGACCAACGTGACTTGGTATTGGTCGCGGCACCAATTGTGACGTTCTAACCTTTTGCTGATTCGGATGGGGATCTGGTTAGATTCGGCATCAGCCTTGTCGTTCCCCGCTCGCCTCCAACGTCTGGTTACCGAAGTAGCTGTTTTGATTTCTAGTCTAACCTACCCACGTTGGGATTTGATCGTAGGTAGACGAAATCAATCAGTCGCCAGGCCGTAATGCAAATCGAGTCCGGACAAGGGTAATACCACACAAGTATATGTAAAAGAAAATAATGTAATAACTCGAAAAGTTCAAATATGTTAAAAAGGAATAACAATATTTTATATCTGGTTGCTGAATACAGGACTGCGTATTTCTCCAAAACGCTAATATGGATACGTGACACTTTGTGTTTGTTAGGCGAGTCTTAACATCTTAAGTTGTTTGTTCTTTAAGAAACTGGTTCTTGGTGTATCTTCAGGTGATATTCGTAAAACTTGTTTTGGTGGTGTGAGTCTAAGTCGTTCTTCAAAAATAAATTGTTCTTGGTTAGAAGTTGAGGTCGTGATTGCGTGGATCTCAAGTCAGCTTTCGGCGAGGCGGGTCCCCAGAGGTCTCAGCTCACTGCAACTGCTTGACTGTCTAACCCCAACTGCTCAGCTGCGAACTGCTGTCTTACTCGTTGCGTGGTTAGCCTGTCGGGGTTTGAGGTTCCTTGATAATTCTAAATCCGCATAAAGAGTTTCCTTTTTTTCGGGCAGGAAGATTTATTAATTTCCATTTTTGGAAGTCTTTAATTTCTAGAGTAGGGATTCACCTCCCCCATTCTTCTTTTCTCATATGGGTATCTCATACCAATCCCTTCAGAGGCGTCAGTGGGTTTCCCCTCTCTCTCACAGTGGCATCTCGTATCAATCCCTTCAGGGGGCGTCAACAGGCCTCCCCTCCTTCTTCACATGATTACCTTCGCCTGCCGCTCACGCCACCATTCAGCCAATGAGCGCTCAGCAGCGTGGGTGTGGCCGGACTGGCCTCAGTTCAAAATTATCTTCCAAAGAAAAAAAAATTATCTTCTTTTTTTTTTCTTTTCCTCGAACAGATCTCACACGACTCTAATCTCTATCTTAACCGAATTTCTTATGGAATTCGTCAACGAGATTTTCGCCAATTATCAAGTGGGTGGTCATCTGGACGACTTTGCATTCTGTCGCTAATTAACTGTTTCGGTAAAATAATTTTCCTATTATAGACAGCTCCGACACAAAACAGATGCTTTTTCTCAAATGATACCTCCGCAGATAGTTAAGGGTTTAATCTTTCCTTCTTGGTACTCTGCGGGTGATCCAGCGGTCATTTTTTCTCGCGACCCAATTAATTTTTATCTCTTAGAATTCTGCCCTATAGGCCAGCTGACCGAGCTGAAACTTTCACCATTGCTGTGGGCAGACTGCCACCTTCCACTCGGTGCGCCGTCATAAATCAAACGCGACAGATCCGCGACCTTACTTTCTTCGCTAATGAAAATAAAATCTTTACCACTTTTCCTTGTTAGAAAAAAAATAACATCGTCTTTACGTGATAGATTCTTATCACCTAATTTAATTCTCACCTTTTTTCTTTTTTTTTTTCACGCAACCCTAAATAGTGTCACACTACAATCTTATGGAAGAAATTTATTTGGCTTGGCTGAAAATTCTGAGGGATTAGCAAAAACAGTATTCGATGTAAAATGTTCAACTTGTGGACAACTCTTTTTATTTAAATGTTCCTAGTTGCACAATTAGATGCAACGTTACTATATGTATTGGGACCTTACCCATAATAATATAATGGACTATTCCATTCGTAATAAATATTGCGCCTCAAGAGGATGCAGGGAGTTCAGTCTGAATTCTGGAGTGAAGTCCGTCAGGAGTCTGTCAGTCAGTCAGAGCGAGCGAGTCAGTCAGTCGAGACGGAGGCAGTCCGAAACAGAGTCGAATTCAGGCAATTACTACTAAACCTGACTGTTCGTACTAACACATTCTACATCTCTGTATATATTCCTGTTTGTAATATATCTGTGTTATTCCATATCAGTGTTCGAGTTCTTCTTTATTGGTTCTACCTTGGACCATCACCGTGGTACAAGGACCTTTTGGACCATAACACTATATGAAAAAGTTTTCCATATTGTTGATGCAATCAAACAATTAAATGGCCAAGTAACTGCAATTGTATGAGACAGAGAGAGAGAGAGAGAGAGAGAGAGATGACCTAAAGAGCCAGAACCTATCTACCTAGGTTTCACGGATCAGATCAGTGGGATAACTCTGGAGTAATTAGGTTATTAGGCTATCTAGTTTTTGTTCTGCTTAGGGTATTGAGCAATTTTTATGTTTCGACTTAAAATAACGTTTGAAGTGATAAAAATCGGTTGGATTATTTTAAATAAAAAATCCATTAACAAATCCAATTCTTTACAGACTGCTTTGTTTACGCTTCGGACACGAAACTGAGTAGCACAAACATTCGAAATCTTAACGCGAGGGATGTACTTCAAAGGCAATTTAGAAACTTGCATAATCGACGACGCTCTTCATGTCAGAGTTGGTTTAAAAGCACGTCGGATCTAATAATATATATATATATATATATATATATATATATATATAGATAGATAGATAGATAGATAGATAGATAACCTAAAAAGGTAGAACCTATCTCTGAGGGATCATCAAGATAAGTGAGAAACCAGAGTTATCCTAATGATCCGTTAGATGAAACCTACGTAGATATGTTCAGGCTAGGTTATCTAGTTTTTGCTCTACTTAGTGTATTGTGCACTTTGACGTTACAACTTAGGTTACACTGTCGGTATTTTTTTTCTTTTGACTAGACATTGCAGTGCTGATTGATTATTTTCAAGCAGCACGGATGTTTTTAGTCTTTTCTTTTTACTTGAATTTTTTCCCTGATATCACTTTGTCTAATATTATTTTTGTATTTACAGATTGTATTATCTGCTTTTTTTTTAATTCACTCCGCCAGAGTTTAGGTAAAAAATAATATAAACATACTCATACTCATACTCACACACACACACACACACACACACACACACACACACACACACACACACACACACACATATACATATACACACACACACACATATATATATATATATATATATATATATAAAAAGTTACTCCAAAATTCGCTTGAGGATGAAATCGGGGCATTTAGCTTCCATTTTTGAAACATGGTTAGAACTGTGTAGCGAAAAAAAACATATTTTAAATCAATTAATTTATAATATTAATGCTCTATAAATTCACATTGAGCACTATTTTGTAAAAATAAAAATATCTATAAGAACACCGGATTATATATCTTACTGTTCTTTCTATATATATATATATATATATATATATATATATATATATATATATATATATATATATAATAAAAGCAAGGCAATAAAGCCACTAAGACGCAAATGTTGGTTACTGAGTGTTAGAGAATATGACAAAAGTGTTATTCAGGTGAGAGAACAATGAAAGAAAAGGAATTTAGAAAAACAGAAGATAACAGTTGACATTGCATGACTATTTTTGATGATCAAAATCGACTGGGAATCATGAAGCCAGGAGAGAGTCTCACTTGAAAGAAGTGCGATAGCAGAATATGTTAGCATAGAACTTACCGTTACATCTAGCCATTTCACCTGTAAAATGATGAGACCTTGCCGCCAATCTTGTACGGTGGTTAAATTCATAAACTCTGGGTACCAAAGATGAGAGTTCATGAAAAAAATTACCATTACACTATTTAGAGAAAAGGTACGGGGAAGCTACATTATGGCGGTGGGGAAATGACTGAAGTCCAGATGCCAGGTCAGGACTTATAACATTGCAGATTCCGCTTTGAATATTATCAAAAATCTTTAGATAGATAGCAAAAGCACCAGACCAGATCAGGCAGCAATATTCAAAGAAAAGACGAATGGTAAACTTATAAATATGTAAGATCGATTACACCGAGAAAAGAATGTCTGGCATGATACAGTGAACTAACTGTCCTAGCAGCAGACCTAGCGATTGATTCATTGTCATCTTTGCACTTCATCTCAGCGAAAAACTTTAATCCAGGAAGAGAAGTGAATGATTGTCCTAGAGGTTAGCATCAGCCATGCTGACAGATGGAAATAGGAGTTCACATATTTCATAATTATGCCATTCCTGCCTCGTGGTCTATCTATCTTTTTATCTATCTTCTTATATTATGATCATTATATCTATCATAGTCAATTCATTCCTATCTATCTATCTATCTATATTAGTCTCTTCATATATTATGATCATTATATCTATCATGGTCAATTCATTCATATCTATCTATCTATCTATATATCTATCTATCTATCTATCTTAGTCTCTTCATATATTATGATCATTATATCTATCATAGTCAATTCATTCCTATCTATCTATCTATCTATCTATCTATCTTAGTCTCTTCATATATTATGATCATTATATCTATCATAGTCAATTCATTCCTATCTATCTATCTATCTTAGTCTCTTCATATATTATGATCATTATATCTATCATAGTCAATTCATTCCTATCTATCTATCTATCTATATTAGTCTCTTCATATATTATGATCATTATATCTATCATGGTCAATTCATTCATATCTATCTATCTATCTATATATCTATCTATCTATCTATCTTAGTCTCTTCATATATTATGATCATTATATCTATCATAGTCAATTCATTCCTATCTATCTATCTATCTATCTATCTTAGTCTCTTCATATATTATGATCATTATATCTATCATAGTCAATTCATTCCTATCTATCTATCTATCTATCTATCTATCTATCTATCTTAGTCTCTTCATATATTATGATCATTATATCTATCATAGTCAATTCATTCCTATCTATCTATCTATCTATCTATCTATCTATCTTAGTCTCTTCATATATTATGATCATTATATCTATCATGGTCAATTCATTCCTATCTATATATCTATCTTAGTCTCTTCTTATATTATGATCATTATATCTATCATAGTCAATTCATTCCTATCTATCTATCTATCTATCTATCTATCTATCTATCTATCTATCTTAGTCTCCTCATATATTATGATCATTATATCTATCATGGTCAATTCATTCCTATCTATATATCTATCTTAGTCTCTTCATATATTATGATCATTATATCTATCCTAGTCAATTCATTCCTATCTATCTATCTATCTATCTATCTTAGTCTCTTCATATATTATGATCATTATATCTATCCTAGTCAATTCATTCCTATCTATCTATCTATCTTAGTCTCTTCATATATTATGATCATTATATCTATCATAGTCAATTCATTCCTATCTATCTATCTATCTATCTATCTATCTATCTTAGTCTCTTCATATATTATGATCATTATATCTATCATGGTCTATTCATTCATATCTATCTATCTTAGTATCTTCATATATTATGATCATTATATCTATCATAGTCAATTCATTCCTATCTATCTATTTATCTATCTATCTTGGTCTCTTCATATATTATGATCATTATATCTACCATAGTCAATTCATTCCTATCTATCTATGTATCTATCTATCTATCTATCTATCTTAGTCTCTTCATGCAGATGGACAGTTGAAAATGCTTTCATCTTTATAACATCAACAAAATACAATACTCGCCAGCGTCGTGAAGTAGGTAAACCACTGCTAGTGGTGAACTACTTAGACAGCATATTACCCCACCCCCAACGTATGATCATTATATCTATCATAGTCAATTCATTCCTATCTATCTATCTATCTTGCTCTCTTCATATATTATGATCATTATATCTACCACAGTCAATTCCTTTCTATCTATCTGTCGTAGTCTCTTTATATATTATCATCATGATATCTATCATAACTTATTCATTCCCATCTATATATCTATCTTAGTCATTACATACATTATAATCATTATATCTATCATAGTCTATTCATTCCTATCTATCTATCTATCTATCTATCTATCTATCTATCTTAGTCTTTTCATATATTATTAACATTATATCTATCATCGTCTATTCATTCCTATCTATCTACCAATCTATCTAACATAGTTTCTTCATACATTTTTATCATTATAGCTATCATATTCTATTCATTCCTATCTATCTATCTATCTATCTATTTCTATATTACAATTTTGTGGCCTACTTTTTATGCCTATTAAGTATATGGATATCTAAATATTATAACCTGTAGAATTCTTTCACACTCATCTCAGTATGTGTTCGTCTGCTGAAGAGAAAGTCGTGTCAAATTAATTCCTGTTTTTGTCAAGCTCACCACCTTTGTCTCCTAACTCTGGCGAACAAAGAGTTTTTAGAGTAAAAGCTGAAATCATTTTAATTAACTCGATAAAAAAAATTGCATATTGTCGGTTTTTTCCCCGTTTTTTTCCGATAGGTGTGGTTTATTTTCTGGATTTTCGTCGTACACGAATTACGAAAAGCAGTCACGTACAACGCCCACATACAAGGGCATAAAAAAAACGCATATGCACAGACGAACATATATATATATATATATATACCCACTAATATATATTTTCCCAAATGCTTGCGCCAAACAAGCAGGTACATCAATAATCTAATGAGAAAAAACGCATTTCTTTTACGCAATGCAGTTAGCGGCAGGTATTTGAGAACATACCTTGAACTGGCTATGGATGAATACGGTCTACAGCAGGGTTTCCCAGCCTTGGCGATTTCGGCCACCAGTGGGCGATTTCATCTACTGGGTGGGTGATGAGAAAATTAACAGAAAATTGGAAGTTTTGGTGGGCGATATAGGATTAAAAACATATTAAAATTATTTCAACCTATGCTACCCGGAAAAATACTAAGAGATATGCAAAGAAGCTGTATACAAAATGGAGGCTAAATGGATATAACTGGTTCACATAACATTCTTATTTTTATGTGCCACGTCCTTTCAGGACGTAGGCGATCATGGCTCTCCTCTTCCCTCTATCGCTTGCAGCTCTCAACAAGTTCTTTCTCTTTGCTTCCTCTCGCATACCGCGTTCTGTCATCGACTTGCTTAAGTCTGTCAGGTATGTTACGCGTTGTTTTCCCTTGTCTCTCTTTCCTTCTATTCGAACCGTGAGTATCTGATTTTCCAGGCCCTCCTTCCTCATTATGTGTCCCAGAAACTTCAGCTGCCTCTTCCTGAAATTAAGTATAAGTCTCCACCTTGTTTGCATCCTCTCCAAGACCTCATCGTTGCTCACACGTTCGGTCCATGATGCCCTGTCTCTTCCTGATATTAAGTATACGTCTCCTCCTCGTTAGCAACCTCTCCAAGACCTCATCGTTGTTCACACGCTCGGTCCATGATATCCTTAGCATCTCCGTAAACAAGGAATATTTTAGAAGTTTCTGTATAGTTTTCAGTGGTCATATTTGCTTTCGTTTGTTCCTTAATAGGCCACTACATAAATGAAGCAACCTAGAAAAGGCTACTGAATAAGTAATAACCAAAATGGCGGTTTGAAATGAGAATGGTAATCTTTATAACATCAACAAAATACAATACAGGCCAGCGGCATGAAGTAGGTAAACCACTGCTAGCGGTGGACTACATAGACATCATATTACCCCCACTTACAATAGTATCTAAGGTGTTTATGAGGAATGGGACATACCCATTAGTATTTATAGGTACGGTATATAATAGATAGATACATAGATCTGAACAATGTAATAAATAGATAGATAGATAGATAGATAGATAGATAGTGTTGTAACCTAGAAAGGGTTACTGAATGAGAAATAACCGAAACGGAGGATGGAAATGAAATGGTAATCTTTATAACATCAACAAAATACAATACTCGCCAGCGTCGTGAAGTAGGCAAACCACTGCTAGTGGTGGACTACTTATACAGCATATTACCCCACCCCCCAACGTATTTATGAGGATTGAGATATACCGAAGAGTGTTCATAGGTACGGTATATGATAAAAAAAAGTCAGCGTTAATTTTGGTATTTTTACTATGCCATAAAGACAGTTTATGAACCAGTAACAAACTTTTATGAAACAATTTTCTTATGCTATTGAATATTTACTGTACAGATGGGCAGTTGAAAATGCTTCCATGTTAAAGTGGGCAATGATGCAGAAATAAAGGTTGGTAAACCCTGTTCTAAAGCAATGCTATGCAGCATGCACCGAATTTCAACATTCTCACGTCTGTCAACTGCATCAAGAATATATTATGATGCAGTAATCCCCACCTCCGATATAAAAAATAAAGAGACACACTAGGCTCCTGTCACTTGTTCAACCACAGCGACTTGGAAATAGCGAGCTTTTTTGAAATGGCTTGGTGGACAGGATGAATGCACTCCAAATACACGTCGTATTTCATAGCATTTGGGGACTTGAGTACGTCTTTCCACATCACTTTAGACTCAACGCTACGACCAACATCGAATTTCAGGATACGTTGGTCAAGTTCAGGATTTTCAATGTGGATTTTCATCCCCCTAGATTACATAGCCCAGGAGTGGCTCGTAGATCATTTTTAAGATCATGTTACTCCTAACATGTAGTCTCTTATTTCTCTTAATTTTGTTTGTTTCTTTTACGGCATATCTGTTACGGTTTTTTTGAGTATATACTATATGACTAATGAGCGAGTCAAAATGACTTATTTCCCTTTATAGTCGACCAATAGAAGGTTGACCAATCAGAAGCCGCACAACACTGTATTCGTCGTGTATAAAGGCGGCCATCTTTGTTTTCCTATCGGAAGGACCAGAGGCAACTTGTCCGGCGAACATGACAGACGGAAGAACTACGCTCTGCTACTTTGCTGCGATATCCACTGCGAACCGGAACTACGCTTTCCTACTGTCTCCGAAATATTCACTGCCAACCTCTGGATTCTATACTCGAAGACGACCGTCATGAAAATGTCTAACAATATCAACCTCAATAGTTTCTTTAACGCTGACAAAATTTTTTATTTTTGGTAATATTTTTTTTTCAAAAATCTATTTCTGGGAATATTTTTTTCTTCAAAAATCTATTTCTGATAATATTTTTCTTTCAAGAAACCTATAGCTGGTAATTTTTTTTCAAAAAATATATAGCTGTTTGTATTGCTAGTATTTTTTAAAAAGTATTGCTGATAATAATTTTTCCTTCAAAATTTACTGCTGGTAATTTTTTTTACAAATTAGTTCTGGTATTAAAACCTATTTTTACACAAGTTTGAGTGTTAACTATATGTCCATAGCTGGGACCCTAACAAGGGCTACCACCCCGGGTCAGGGTGGACCGGGGAACACTAGCAATTAAGAGGTGTTTCCGCGCCGCTCAAAAACTCCTGATCAGGGGCCTTGCTGCTGGACGTAGTTTATCGTCTTACCCAGGACGCGGATGTAGTTTATCGTCTCAACCAGGACAATTTAGTTCTCTTAAATCACTTGCACCACTAGCTCTGGAGAACAAAATAACTTACCAAATCAACGTGCAAAATGAGCAATGTTTATATGTAGCTTAAGGCTGAAAGTGGGGAGCGAACTCAATTATGTGCTATGCGTGATACACGCTTAGGCGATCATGTATCTTTCGATCCTGACGAAGCAGATTTTTTTTCCGCAGTAGGTTGCCATTTCTTTCTGCGGTAGACCAGTTGCCCTCTAAGGCTATAGAACACGGTCTGTCCTGCTATTTACCCATACCTGGGGGCTGGGGGAGAAGAGAATTCATACCTTTCCTAAGGGTATTAGCACGTAAATGACTGGTTTAATGGATTCGACTAGAATTCGAACTCGGCTCTCCGTTTCCTCAGTCCGAGCCGCTATCCATTACTCCACCGTGTAAACCTTCCATATTTTGTCATAGTGATTTTCATAGCGTATTACACAAACCGAAATTAGGAGAGACGCAATGAGGATTGAACTCACTATTCTGCCTCGCTGGCCCTTCCGTACTTTCTCATGGTGTGCTGTTAAATGTTAGTGCAATTTTTTAAAAAATTGTTGGCAAGCATAGACGCCAGCTAAAAACAAAACATTTATTTTTTTTTAAATATGTCTGAAGTAAATGATAAATAATATTTTTTATCACTATCCAGTACAGTTAAATTATATATATATATATATATATATATATATATATATATATATATATATATATATATATCTCATCAAACTTTTAATTTGTCAGCTATTTGAATTTTGTGGAAATTTAATTAAATCGGCTTTGTTAGGTGTTGATATTTAAGAACTATGACATAATATTCAAGTTGCAATGAAATGTGAAAAAAAGGGCCTGGTGGGGTAGCCAGTTTAATCAGCGACTAATCGACCAGTCATATGCTCAATTCAGAGTTGTCCATCTGCTAGGCCCCTTTCCATCTATGACTATAGGATCCAGTCTGCCCTTATATTTACCTATGTCTAGCGGGTGAAGGGATGGATTAACATAACTGCTAAGGACATTTGCATGTAAGCGAATATAATGAACTCGACCGGAATTCGAACTCTGTTCTCCGATTCCTCAATCCGAGTCGATATCCATTACTCTACCAAGACTTTTAAATTTTATGCTGTTGTATTTCATTGAGTAAACTAAAGGTGCATATCTTAGAGTGCTTGCGTTTATGTATGTATTAGATTCTTTATTGTTTTGTTTTCATTGGGTGCTTTGATGTTACATATATACTTCATAGTGTCTGTGTTTAAGTTTAATTCTTGAAATGCCAAAATAATGTAAGTGGTTCTTAACATTTTGTTTATATCTTAATTGTATGGTAGATAATCCGAATGTTGGAAATGACTACTAGGTTACATCATCTACAAACGATTGGAGGTTTTATGAATATTTATATTGAAAAAAATACCATTAAACTACACTCTGACCTCTTTAAACCAGCGCCCTTCGGACCAGGTCTTTGCAGGACCATTGAAAATGCTGAATGACAAAAATAACCACTAAAAAACCGATGTAGATATATTTATACCAGCTCATTCCGCGGATATATTGCTGTGTTATCAACGGTAGAACAAAGCTTATCAGAGGAAATAAAACAATTATTAATTCTTCCGAACAAATTTCTTTATTGTTTTGTAGGAATATGAATCGGCTGGGGTCTTATTAAATTGAAAACAGTTGGGCCTGTCGTAAAAATGGATGCGAAAAATTTACTTTCGACCGATGAATATTATTAAGTGAAGTCAACTTCAA